GGGGAATAAAGGACAAGCCAAGAAGAATCCAGACTCTTCCTAGAACATTCTGTGCGCCCAGCATCACGCGGCCAGGTACCCTGTCCTTACCGGTGGGTTTGACGAGCACTGCCAAGAAGTCCGTGGTGAGGGAGCTGACGTAGAGGAGAATGCAGGGCGCCTTGGTGGTGCTGAAGCTGAATCGGATCTCCTCGTGGGTCAGGTCCGGCGGGGAGCCCTGCGGGTCAGGCGAGCCCTCCGATCTACTGCCCGATTCCTTGCTGCCGACCCCGGGCGCCTGGAAATTATACCGTAGCCACATCCCCTCTTCAAAAAATGCACCAACATCTGTTGAAAAGAAAGAAAAAGAGAGAAAACTGAATAATGAGAAGTCTGATGCTGATACGACCCACGATTTGAATGTGGGCTGACTGCTAGTTTTGGAGTGGCCTCCGAGGCAGTTCACAGGGGGCAGACTGACCCCAGGGAGGGGGTTGGCCCAGGTCAGCGTCTCTGTGGATGGATGTTATTTCATCAACACGAATACACTATCAAAAAAAAAAAAAAAAGAAAAAAAAAGTAGGTAACGATATGGCAGTCCATAAACTTAAAATGTGATGGTAAAATTGAGAAATGTAAATCATGCCAGAAAAAAACCTCATGGACTAATTTCGGTGGAAGAGACGTGCGGAGGTAAAGGCAGTGTTTCGAGGAGCCCTCCCCGAGATGCTGCTGCCTGGGACATTCACACCTGAAAGCCCTCGACAGAGCTCTAAGTCCCGGGAGGTCTGTGTACAATGTTCAAAGTCATAAGACGTGAAATTAGAATTGTGTCCAGATGTGGCACTGCCATCAATTAGTCATGTGGCCCGAAGCTGCTTAACCAGCTTCACAGGCCTCACTTAGCATTCATCTGAGAAAGCAAGGTAATAGTGAACATTGTAGAATATAATTTAAAGTAATTAGCCCATAATAAATAGTACCTATTATTATTATTACTGTGAAATTAGAAGAAAGGTCACTAACCTTTCACCAGTCTTTTCCTGTAGCCTAATCAGTGAAAATTGGTTTCTAATCATTTCCAGGCAGACAAGCTCCTGCTGTAGTTTTTCCCACCGTTTGTTCCCGAAAGTTCTTCAAATCACCTCCTTTCTCACTACGAAAGCCTGAGGCCCCCTTTCAAGATGTGTTTGGTCTTTACCGCTACTGTTCCATAGCGCTCTGCCCGGGCCCATCTGAAAGCATGTCTCAAACTTCTTTGCCCTTGGAATCCACTATTCTCATCCTGCTAAAGGAACACTACACAGAATGTATTCTGTGACACACTGCTTTACATTGTGATCAATGGGGGGGGGGGCGGAATTTACAATGATTCTTTCATCTGGGAAATTTGAAGTTCAATTTTAAAGAGCTCTAGCTTGGACTCGGCACAGTGCAGTGATCGAGGGTCTGGGGTCAGACTCCTGCAGTGACTCTCGGCCTTGACACTTACCAAGTGTGTTAACTTGGTCAATGGCTTGAAATTTTCTAAGCCTGTTTCCTTCTCTGAAAAATGGGCCTCACAGGTTGCTGTGAGGATTAAATAACCCACGTATAACACTTAGCCTAGTGCCTGGGGTGTATGATAAGCACTCAATAAAGGTTAGTTAGTTATGTGACAAAGACAGGTTACCACGTTCTATTCAGGGCCACGGATGCCACCCTCACGCCCCACCAGATGCCACCACGCATGCAGTACTCCAGTAAGTCACCCCGGCACTGCTACGGTCCACCGCGTTCTGCCTCTCGCGAGTTCTGGTGAAGAGTTCAGCTAACTACAGGCTCTCAGGCACGGGCAGCTGTCTTCCTCCCAACCCTCTCACCCCGAGGACTTTACAAGTGTGCGCATGTGTGCGTACGTGTGAATGGGAGGGCGCTGTCCAAATGCTGGGAGCGGTACTGATGCATTCAGCGGGCGGGGGGAGGATTGCTGAGTGTCCTGCAGTGTGTGAGTGAAACTGTCTTATATAATTACGAACTGTCCTGCTCACGAATGCCACAGTGTCCTTGTTGGGAAACAGGATTAGAGAAACACTTAGCCCCGCTCGTCGCTCCATAGTTACTGGAATGTCAAGGTGCACCGAATGCATCAGGCCCTCGAGGAGCTTTCTGCCCAGCAGTGGCCGTGGGAGGAGACACACACACACACCTGGACACGTGGCGAGCATGTCTGTCGCTCCACAGTTACTGGAACGTCAAGGTGCACCGAATGCATCAGGCCCTCGAGGGGCTTTCTGCCCAGCAGTGGCCGTGGGAGGACACACACACACACACACACCTGGACACGTGGCGAGCATGTCATGAGTGTATGGTGTGTGTCATGTGGTTTGCTCAGCAGGCCGCATGTTGAGAACCCCACCACGCCGCCTGGAAGGTTCTCCATGCCCAGTGAGCACCTGCTGAGTGCCGGCTACGTGCCAGGCACCTTATTGGGCACCGAGGTCATAATCCTCACTCTCAAGGAGCACCTGTTCTCGAGAAGGATTTAGACTAGCAGACAAGGGCAGAAGGCAGCGTGGTGAGCACAGGATCGGTGTATACAGGCGGGAACCTGCCCTGTCTCCAGGGCCCCGGAAGATGCTGGGGCCAGGACCCAAAGAGCCGGCGGCACGTTGCCGCGTGAAAGTGGAGGGCAGCTTTCTGGCTGAGGGAGCCGTTTGCCAAACCCCTCAGCAGGTGTAACGGGCTCCCCAGGTGCTGCTTACACGCACGGGTCTGGGACCCTGGGAGGCGAAGCCGAGGCAGGACCGCGCCCCTGGAGGAGCAGGCGGCTGAGGGGCCTGCCTGGTGGAGACGTTACGCATCGCTCAGCTAAACTGGCGACAGTCAAGGCAGAATATCTCCATGAAGGGACATTCAGAAAGCTAAGGATTTTAGATAAACAAATGGAGAACATGCCACAGAGAATACTTTTGATGTATTTTAGAATCACCATTAACGAGCTTTAATGATTCGTGAGGAGGAAGGGTTATACTATGCTTAAAGGTATTATCTGAAGCCATGTCACAAACCGACTGTTATACCAGGGCCTGGGAGTGCTGCGAACCACTTAAGGTTCGAAGCGGCAGATTTAAAGCTGTCATTTCTTTGTTTCAGATTGTTTTCGGGAAACGCCAAGTCACGGTCCTATAGTAACACTCAGGGAAGTAACACTCCCATCCCTTCGGAGTGAATAACTGAAATAACACTAATTTAACAAGCCCCAAATGACATCTTTTCCCTCATTACGTGGTCAAAAAGCACTGATTTAGCATGCTTGATTTAAGGTTTTTATATTAATATGAGATAGCTTAAGTCTTATGATATTCGTTTTTTGGATAGAAAATGATAAATTTTGGGTCTACTTATTCTAAGATGTATTATGATTACATTCCAAGATGTTTATGAAAGAGATTTGCTGAATTATATCATGTTTCTCAAAATTTTGGAAAACATTACGCCATCTGTAGACTTAGACTCGTGAAGGGGACAGGAACCTAGAAGCAGATAAGGAATCTTATCTTAACATTTCTTGGTCCTCAAAATGTATCCTGTGTAAACTATCTGAGTAGGGAAAATAAATTTGAGAATGTTCAAAATAAAATCCACAAACCATACATCCCAGAATAATAAAGATATTTTCTTCATCTACCTAAATCCCTGACGCTTACAGTGGAGAAACAAACACACAGCTGGAGCTCACCCCCAGGATTAAATTGCTCCTCATCTGTTTCTCCTTCAAGTTCAATAATTCTACTCCTTTTGCCTTTTCACTTCGGATATCTTTTGCAACCTATATTTTTAAAATTGACACCATTCTTTTTGTTCTCTAATGTTCCCCATGAGGACCCAGCATTGAAAGTCCCCAACTCACAAATGGGCTCTTGGATAAAAATTTATTTTAAAGTCAGTAACTTGTAATTTGGAAACATTTACCCATAGAAACAATGCTTTAAATGTTGGCTAGCTTGCCAGAAGAGTCTACAAATGCTGAATCACTCTGGATGGGTAATAAAAGATAATTGAAGAGTGCCATTGTGTATTAGTAATTAAAACAGAAACAGCAGCAACAACGAAAAAATGTTAAGGTTTAGTTTGAATGTGAGAACTCCAGGGTACTGTGTTCCCACAAGGATTTCATCTTGCTCATCCAGTGGTATGCTGGTAAATGTTAAACAGCTGGCTCCCCAGTGGGTAGAAACCCTGATCTTTAGCGTTTGCCTATTCCCATGGTGTAAACACTCCTGACTTGACTAATTTCAAGCTGCCAACATGACATCACTAAATATGGAGTTGAGAAGAGATGTTCACAACTGGACTCGCAGTCTGTGTGCACTGCCTCCAGCACGTGATCTTCCTCTACTCCCTGAGCCATGACCCAGACATTCAAGCAAATGCGTTTACCGAGCCCCCACTGTGCAGAATGTCATAGTCAGTATAATAAAGCACCATAACTGGGTGGCTTAAACAACAGAAACGCATTTCTCACAATTTTGCTGACTGTAAGTCAAAGATCAAGGAGGCAGCTGATTTTTGTTCCCAGTGAAGGTTCTCTTCCTGGCTTTCAGACAGCTGTGTTCTTGTGTGCTCACGTGGCAGAGAGACAGGAGACAGAGAGACAGAGAGACAGAGAGACAGAGACGACGGAGAGAGAGACAGAGGAGAGACAGAGAGACAGAGAGACAGAGAGACAGAGAGAGCGAGCGAGAGAGAGACAGAGAGACAGAGAGAGGGCGAGAGCGAGAGACAGAGAGACACAGAGAGCGAGCGAGAGCGACACAGAGAGACAGAGAGAGCTAGCGAGAGAGAGACAGAGAGACAGAGAGACAGAGAGACAGAGAGAGCGAGAGAGAGTTTGCGCACGCTCTCCGGTCTCATCTCATCAGGGCACCAGTCCCATCACGAGGGCTTCACCCTCATGACTTCCTCTAAACCTGATCACCTTCAATGCCTCATCTCTAAATACCATTGCGTGGGGGGTTAGGGCTTCAACATGTGAATTCTGGGGACGACACAAACATTCAGTCCATAACCACAGGCTTCCCTCTTTTTACCTTCTGCTGCAGACCAACACTTTAATATTTGCTTACATTTTCCTGCCTTCCAAAGCTCCCTTCTACTCTGGACCCTGAAAGCACCACATGGCTGCTACAAAATCTAGGAGGAACCGCTGGGGAACAGACACCTTTGCGGAGCAAGCACTGGCCTGAGCCCCAGCCTCGGGCCATTAAACACTTTCATGGCCGAATCCCATTGCCCAAGATAATCACTCTCATTAACTGCTTTTTAATTTGTCGTCTAGTAAAACAGTTAAGTGAACTTTATGGAGC